TTCTGGAATGTTTCCAAAATTTACCAGAAATTTCCACTTCTTTGCAACCTTACTCTTCACATCCCGATAGCAATCACTGTGGTCTAAATGTATTTATATCGTCTGTGGAAGGTGTAGGACCATAAAATGCTTGTGTAATCATATCCCTCGGTTCAAGGGCTATGATAGGCTGTCCTACCTGCCTGTCAACTTATGTATTTGCATACCTCTGTGCACCCTGTTCACGCAGGCACGCCAAGTAATCAGCGCATTCCATTACGCTAGAATAAAAGGCATTATTGTAATATTTAGCGGTTTTTACTGTAATGTTTTCTCACTGGTGAATGAGACATGAAATAATCTGACAGCATTGCATTCATCCCTCCATCAGCACCGACTCTCATCGTGCCACTGGTCTGCCTATGCGCGGTCATGTGTTTTGGAGGAGGCAGCGGCTTTGGAGAGTGATTTGCAGGGAGGGTGGGATCTTATGATTTGAAAACTAGCTTGCTATTGCTAGCCTTTCTGAAATCCCCTACCCCACCTTTAAAAATCATAAAGAGAAATTAAAATCCACTCTAATGAGACAATTATTCACATATATTAGAAGTGCAATGCTTTAAATTAATGGATGGCGACTTTTTTTTTCAGATCTCTGATTTTTAAATGCAGGCTTGGTATCTTGTCAAATCTGAGCACATTTTGAGACATTATTGATATTTTCTGAATTTCTTGAGGAGAAATGTGTGATATTACTTAGCAGTTTGTTTCTCCATTTATTTATACTTTCAACTGTGATATTAATGAGCTCTCATCTGATTTTTGTCCCTTGAGGGATGATTTTTTTACTCATTAAAAAATGCAGAAATACTAATTAATGCATAATTGTAAGCAATTTTCATTTAATGAATTGGCAAACAATCTGTACTTGATGTTTTGGTGAACGGATTCAGGAGATTTAAGTCACTTGGAAGACTCAAAGTCTTCTACATAGTAGCAGCAGAGCTTCGTTATGCCAATTAATCAGATTGATTTACGGATGAGCCGGAGTTGTGTTATTCTTGTCCAAGTGTGTGTTTAACTTTGTTTGTCCTGTGAGGTGTCTGTGTGCCGAACTGACCTACATGAAGCTGAGGTGAACTAAGTCCGCCTGTATGTGTGTTAGTGCGCGTTGCGCGTGTGTGTGTATACAGGATTAGCGAACAGGCTGATTCTGAACTAGATTAGACTCTTAGCATGCTGTTCCTTTAGCCGTGACAGATGTGAAGAGGATTCTGCTGCTCAGGTATTTAGCTGCCATCTTTTAGTGGGATTGTTGCCGCTGGGAAACAACGTCCTGCTCCAGACTGCAGTAATTCAGTCTTACTGTGATAGTTTCAGATGCATCATATATATATGATAGTAAATGATGCAACAGATGGAAATACGATCGATCACATCAGAATAGACAAGATGCAACTTTGTCATGTTCATTAGGAACTCTCTAGAGAGTCGGACTTGTAACCCGAAGGTCGTGGGTTCGAGTCTCAGGTCTGGCAGGGATTGTAGGTGGGAGGAGTGAATATCCAGCGCTCTCTCCACCCTCACTACCACGACTGAGGTGAGACCCTTGAGCAAGGCACCGAACCCCCAACTGCTCCCCGGGCACCGCAGCATTGGCTGCTCCGGGTG